TATAAATTATTTTTGAGTAGAGATTCGTAATCAGCGCAAAAGCTGCGTGAAATCAAGTATTTTCCACATTTGATTGGTTCGAGAAAAAATTCGAACCTTTCCCATGCAAGGGTGACCGATGCCTGGCCAGGCCGTTTTAGGATTTTTGTGTTCTTATTGATCATTTTCTGAAAAATAAATATTACAGTAATATTTTTCATTATTTTACAAGTTTTGAGAAAAGTAGAATCAGAAATAAATTATCAACAGACCACCTATTAGTACTAGATTTTTTTTGTTTTTAATTTCACCTCCCATCATTCTTATCCTCTGAAAAAAAATTTGAGCCTCCCCTAGATTGAAATCTTTCCGCCGCCGTTGGCTTGGTATGTATCAAAATGAGCGAAGAAAAATGAGCGAAAGAAAAAATGTCGAAAATAGAATGTCGAAGGAAAAAATACCGAATGGAAAATGCCGAATGGAAAAAATAGCGAAAGCAATTATAGCGAAATAAAAAATAGCGAAAAAATTTATTTTAATATTTTTAGACTGCTAAGATGACGATTTTATATTGTCTGATAAAATTTTAAGTACATCAAAATATGAAATGAATGAAGCATAATTAGTTAATAAATTATTAAAAAGAAAATATTTCTTTCTTTCGTTTGACTATGGCGAATGGGAAGCTATCAAACAATAGATAGGCATCGATTTCAAAAGCCTTTTTGTATATACGCATTGTATCCAATTCTTTCACAAATCCAATATTTTTTTAATACTGTTTCTTTTTTTACTCGATATATAAAATCGTTTAAAATTAGCAGAGGATTGCCTTTATTAGAGATGGTAAAGGATACGCTGCTTGTATTCGATGTCATCGAAATTTATACTAAATTAACAACAAGTGGTATGCAATGGAAAAAAATAAGATATGGCGTATCTTTATTTCGTTATATCTTTTGTCCTTTGTGTTTATTCCGTTAGCTAGATTGGACGATGATACTATTGACGAAAAACGCTAGGCAGTGAAAATAGATAACACAAGAAAACGGAGGAATAAAATATCACTGACTGAATTTTAAAATTCAAAAATAAAATTTATGGAAAAATATACTTTTCGCTATTTCCATACGATCGACATTTTATTTTTCGCTTTGATTGTGTTCGACTTTTAGTATTCGACATATTTTCTATCGACATATTTTCGTTCGCTCATTTTTCTTTCGCTCATTTTAATGCCATTCTTAAGTTACACTACTTAATTGCATCACACGAAAAAGTTGATTGTTACGAGAAAAAATATATAAAATATGTATTTATTCGTAATAAGAAACATATCAATCGATAGAGTTTAACCTGGTGAATCAAATGATGTGAATTTGAACCGAAAAAATTACGATATTTTTACCCAAAACATGTTTTTGATGGCAACCCTATGTATTTTGGCTGGAATGTTGTAATTAAGGCATAGGCAGAACCGGACAAAAATTAACGTAGGTGTTTGTTTCTTTATTGTTGCTCACTCAAAACGCATCGTATCTTGATGGAAATCATATTATTCGATACAAAAATGTTTTGTCTACTCCGCAACCAGAAATCAGCTCAAACGGACTTCGGGAAGCGGAGATATTCGAGATTTTTAATCAGATTGCAGTATCGTGATGGAATTTGGAACAACCACTCTATGTATATGTAATGTAGTAGTATACACTACTGTTGTTCTCGTTTCGTTTCTATTGTTTTTTTGTTTCTTTCGTTTCTGTTTTCACAGTATCCTAGAGATATACATATAGATATATGTATTGTTTTTCTTTCGTTTTCTGATCTTTTCTTGATCTCAACTTAGATTGGTTATTCTTAAAAAAGGAGAAAATATTATTTTCGGTCGTGACCTTGCTTTCTCTATTACGCAATAACATTGTCTATTACGTAATATATATATTTTGTGCGTTTTGAAAATAAACAGAGATTGTTAAGATTAGATTCTTTTTGGAATACGTGACAGTATATATTCCGACTAGTGGCGCAGCCAGGGGTGAGCATGCCCGGGCACCAGAGAAACTTTGAAACTTGATAATTACGATTGAAATATTGGTTATCTTTTTATTGTATAGATAGTAGCTGTGAAAAAAAAACAGTTATAGTGACATCTGAAGGATTAAACTAGACATTGATGAGTAAGAAATATCAATTGCTCGTCTATTTTTCGTTTCTTTATATAAATATATCGGAAAATAAAACAACCAATTGATTACTGAATAAATAGCATTTCAAAAATTAGTTTATTTTATTTCGAAATGGAGAACACTTTCAAAGAGCCTAAACGTGGAACTATTCAGCCATTTTTTATTCACAGACTGCAAAAAAAGAAAACATGTGATGCTTTCTTAATCTCAAGTGAGTTAATAGTCAATCAAACAGTTTAGATTACCACGTCATATTCTCCAGATGAACAACAACAAGAACCAACTACTTCATCTTCTTCAATTGATCAACAAACCAAAAAATATGATCGATTTGTATTTTCAAGTTTTACCACTCACCACTCAAACAAGCATTTCCGTGTCTTCTATCACTTCTTATTGGTGAAATGACAATTCTAGTATCATCAACCAATACAGAAAGAACTTTTAGTAAAATGAAGTACATAAAAACTATTGCACGTAACAGTATGTCCGACAACAGACGCAGTGATCTATCATTATTAGCAATTGAAAGAGATTTTTGCATTGATTATGAAAAGATAATCGATGCGTTTGCTATTCAGCATAAAAACAGTCGAATAATACTGAAATAGCTGTTGTTTCTTTACTATTTTTTTCTTTTTGATGGCTTGAGTTCATTTAGTAATAAAAAGATAGGTATTTTTGTTTCTTTCTTTAGAAAAGCAAAAATTAAAAAAATCAATTGAGCATCTGAAAATTTTTTAACTATTGTGAATGACTTTTTTTTAAAGATTATGAGCACCGCCCGGGCACCCGTGATTTCCTGGTTACGCCACTAATTCCGACATGTAAGAGTGCACTAAGCTCAAAAATCGAGCAGAAAAAAAAACTTTTATTATTACACAGTTGGATAGAGCTCCGTGATTAGATCATGAATATCAACGTTAAGATGTTTCTAGGCTTACGTTTTGGCTAAAAAATTTTCAAAATACAAAATACACACGAAAAAGTGAATATTTCACTTTTTCTGTCAAAACTTGAAATTTACCTAGTTTAACAATCTTCTAAGTTTCGAAAACTATCATCATCAAATTCAGCATAAAAATCTGAATCTACTGGTGTAACTTTGGCCAGTAAAAAGCACACACTTCATGTTTGAGGAGCTCCACTAGGTCCCCATATAAACATGTTCAAATTGATGTTTCGCAAAATCATCAAGTATTTTTTTTTGAAAGCAATTCTCGTACTTCCTTACGTTATTCGAACCGTCAAGTGATAGCGAACAAAATAGTATATTGAGTTTAAAAAATATTGTTCTGTCTCTGAGAAAACCGATTTTTATTAGATCGGCTGCTATCCCAGGTCGACCAATCCAAGAGTAGGCACCAATCGAAACCCATCCGATCCGACTCGCATCCAGTAGGATCTTATCGGATTTTGTCGGACCCTACAGATTTATCGTCGGATTCCGGGTTCCGGATTCGAAGTTGGATCCTCAGTGTCGGATTCCTATGAATTCCAAAGAAACGCTGTTGGATGTCATTGGAAGTTCAATGGGTTCCGACTAGTGGTTCTGACGTCAATTCCTCGACTCAAAATCCTATAAGATTCTGTCGGATGGTAGAATACTATCAAGTTTCTATCGGATTCGATGTGGGACTTCTCGACCTGGGCACGTCCTTTTGTTAATGATATATGTAGTGACCCATTTCATCCAATTGATAATCGATTTCAACTTGAATGTCAAACAACGATAAAAGGTTAAAATGGTTTATTTTCAGCACGATTCTGTGCAAAAATTTCTGGTACTATTATTGATATTGATCGAAGTCTTAATCGTTCATTAGTACATAAGTATCTTTATTTACGAACATGTATTACCGAAAATATTATAAGTTCAACAAAAGCGTCGGATTCAACGCGAAATTTTCGTTTAAACATTTTGCTGATATTTCTGGTAGCATTAAAATGCAAGGAACAATAACATTTTGTATTACAGATGGTATCAATGAAGCCAACATTAAACCAATTCATATATAACATTTCTAGTTTCATTTTTCTTTTGCGATTACGTACAAATAAACAAATGGGTCAGATAGATTCTTTTTTCCTCTATTTTTTCTTGTTGCTACTCTATTACACTTTTAAGAGAATCTAGCTTAACTTCAGAAGAAAAAGTTGCAGTTAAATATTGGTAAAAAACACAGTCTGATGTCGTCTCGTTGAAATACTCAAGTGTCAAAACAACAATAGAAAAAATAGCGTCAATAGTAGGGATGTAGCAATACTATTTGGAGACACATTGTTAGGGATCCCTGTGCCTTCTTGATGTTAATAACGAATGAATACCATAATGATGAAACCAACTTTATTATTGAAGAAATAGGAGTATATATAGAGGGAATATGTGTCAGGGAATGAGTATACACATGTCGATCAGTCAAGGAATAAACATATGACTGCAACACACATAAAGACTGCCAATTTTCATTGTGAAAATTGGCAGTCTTTATGTGTCTCCAAATGGTATTATTACATCCCTAGTCAATAGACGACGAGAAAAATGTTACGAAAGAAAAAGAACTGGTTTATAATGGATATTGCCGATGCGGATGACGAAATAATGCTAAAAATCATGCAAAATATTGACTAGGCGATTTTATGCTATTAAATACTCAGACTCATCATGGGAAAATCATTCTTTTTTATTTTTAAATATTTTAACTAAAGCAGATTAATCTAAACTTCGATTCTGACTTGAAGTTTTATCAAATCAGCAATAATTTTCCTTTAGTTGTGCCTGATGCATTGACTGAAGATTGTACATTCGAATTACTGTCCTCGACTTCAACTAGTATGAATCAAACATCAGTAGTAGTTCAACAGATAACATTTCCTATGATTACATCACAGCAATCTATAGCAGCGATTGATACTGACGCAAATTATTTGACAGCATCAATTTTAATACCATCATCTAAAAGTAAAGGTTGCAACGCTTTTGTACATAAGCTAGTAAAACAGACACAAAATGGAAATGAAACCAATCTTGTACGTAAACGTGAAGTGCATAAGAGAATTGAAGCAGATCGACGAGAACGAGAAAAGGCACTTTCTGAAGAATTAGCAAAGTTAATTCATAATTTAATTGATTCAAAATCAAAAAACATTCCGCTTCATGATTTACTTAAAATTGCTGCTGATCTAATATCTGACATAAATTTACGTCGCCAAAATGATCGATTACGCCCATCAAATTTAACCAATAATGAATATCATTTTTAAAAACTTTAACCAAGTAATTTATTTTTAATTGTAACAACAATCGAACCAAAATCATTTCGTATTATTCATGTTACGGACGCAATGAATTGTATTTTAAATGTTACACGTGAAGATTGGTTTGGAGAAGATTTTTTTAATTTATGCATTCAGAAGATTTAATACATTATCAAAGTCAACTGACGTCATTAAATCAAATAATCATGATATGTATTCATCTGTTGTTATTGATGGTCTGGCAAAAACAATTGATCGTTCATTGAATCCTGTACAAATCAATATATCGGGTTTTCTCGCGTTTGTTGGAGTATGTCATTTACCGTTAATAAAGAAATACAACGAAACAAACACGTGTCTTCATAAGAATTCTCAATTGAATACATTTTGTTGTCGTTGTTCACCGGATGATTGGCAAATTTTTCTTGTTGACCGTTCAGTATTAACATTATCATCTTTATCATATGATTTATTGCGTCAAAAATCTATACTAGCTTTTATACATAACAATGAACAACCACTGTTACATCAAGCTTTATTAGATTCAATAAGAGCAGCTTCGCATAGATCAATAACATGTCATTTGATACATCCAACTTTACAAATTTTGATACTAATTTCAGTTGAAATCAAACCATTTTTCAATGCCATTACTTGTTAAGTTTACTTTATTGAATTAGCATGTAAAATTTTAACTCAATAAGCACTATATGTAAAACTCAGTAATAATTCAATGATTCAGCTTCCATCTAATTATTATCCAGATGAATGGACTGCAAATAGTAAACTATTGTATAATTAAAGAAAATGGATAGAAGCCGCTTCAATAAATATTACATTTGACTTTTTATAGTATAGAAAATTCTCTCGATACATTTGAAATAAAACACAAAAGTTAAGCTTTTTTTCTCGTATTCAATGCATCGATTTAATACTTTCTAATCGAAAGAAGATTTCCAGCCTGCAAGATAATGGTAAAGATCAATGATTGGTATTTGTATTCACGGAAAACGATTTTTAATGGCAGTGTTTTGATTCTTTTTTTCTTAAAAGAATTTTTAAAAATAATGGTTCGATGAGTTCCTATTTAGATCCTTGACATTTTCTCGTCGTGTTCCTAAGTTTAGAATTATCACCCTTTTATTATGGCATCTAATTTAAGTAAATTTCAGGCTAGTTTGAAAATATCCCAAATATCAAATCGCATTCACAAAAGAGCTAATTTCATCACCGAGTCATGTGACATCTATGATATGTTTCATAGTTCTGCGCAGATCAGCTTTAAATCATAAATCATGATCAACATTTATGCATACATATTTTTCAAGAATTTGTTTTATTTGTCATTGTGTTTTTATTTATTTTCCTTCACCAAAAAAGATTTAGATTTCATAGCATTAAACCCTTTCTAAGATAATTTCAAGTTCCATTGAAAGTAAGATAGAACAAAACGAATTCATTTCACTTGATAAATATTAGAAACTTAGTTTATGGGAAGCTATCAGAAAGTTAATCATATTGAGTTGCAGACATTACTGAGATTGAATTCTGTGTCAGGACCATTCACAACAGCCGATGCTTCCAAAAGAGTATCTCCCGTTCGTGTGAACACATATGCATGTTTGTCACTTGGTACTTGTATCATAGAAGTTACAACACCTGCTGAGTTAAACACACAACGGATCGATACAATTGAGGTTGACGTACCCGTCAAGACGAAATGCCATCCAAATGCACCATTTGCTGAAACTGGGCAGTCACCTTGTTGGAATCCAGGATTTGTTGAACCAACATGTGTTGAGTTTAAATGAGCTTTTTGAGTTCCAGGAGCTAGAGTTGTTGTCACCTCTAAAATGTGATAGAGCTATTAGATTTTCAAAACAAAAGACATCGGATAAGAATAGCATACGAATACATGTCACGACTCCTCCCGTAGGAACATTTGTGTAGCCAGACTTGCAAGTGCATACAACTGCATTGGTTGAAGCATCATGTGAGCAAGCTGCATTCGAATCACATCCTCCATTCTTCACTTGGCAGCTGTCTGAAACAGGAAAAGTCGGTAAAAGACTGCATTTACATACAATCGAAAAGAAGCGCTTAGCACGAATTAAAGGCATAATAGCTTATGTGGAAATCTCTTATCAGCAAGTCTTAATACTCCATGTCATTTCACAACAGTTAGAAAAAAACAAAATAGGTCAGCTAAAAATATCTACTAAGATTTGAACTTGCTCTCATTAAAACATTTTAACTGATACTGTGTGCTTTCAAATAAGAGAACTAGTTGAAATTCAAATGTTTCTCTCTACTGAAATATATTTAGTTTACATATAATATTTTCGTTAGTGTAGTACTGTTACATTCAAGATCCGTTTTTCCTATGTTTAGCAATAATTCGAAGACATTTATTTGCTTATTCAAATTTTCAACACAATATGGAAATAGGAAAAAGTAAACTTCAAAAGCTTATTCGTAGTTAATATTCAACCGTTAAGAAAAATTCATCGATAAACTGAATTCCTCAATGATAGAATTCAATATAGCTATAAATGAATTTCACAACGGGCTGGCAGAAGCGATTCAATTTTGTCTACTACTTTACGTGAAGAATTAAAAACATTCTTTTGATGTCGATTTATTGAAATTTTGTGTACGTAAACATTATAGGTCACTGAAGTTGTATTTTTTCTTTATATTTATGATATTTTAAGATTCATCGACAGGAACTAATCAGAATAAGAATCAAAGGCAAACGCTAAACACAACTATGAAGTTTTAGATAATTGTAATTACTCATGCATAATTTCCTTTCAACGTGACTGTTAACGTATACTATTGTTGGTACGAAAACTTCTGGACAACTATTAATAAGTCAACTGTTTAAATCATAAAATTTCTTAGTTTTTTTTATGATGAACTCCAATGAAATAATTATTTATGTAAAACAAACTTAGTTTGATATTGTACCTGTACATTTAACTGTAGTATCACAACCTGTATTGACAAATCCATTGTTGCACCTACAAACAACACCATTGGTTGAGGCATCATGGGAACATGTAGCATTCGAATCGCATCCACCATTATTCATTTGACAGGCATCTAAAAGTTCAAACACATCGTCTAACATTCGAATATGATGCCATTTTAAGTTCATACCTGTGCATTGGATGGCAGAACCTGTGCCACTATTAACATATCCATTTTTGCAACTACAAACAACGGCATTGGTTGAGGCGTCATGGGAACATGTAGCATTCGAACCACATCCACCATTATTCACTTGACAACTGTCTTTAAGGAGAATAGGAAATATTTGTAAGATAAAGTACAATATGTAATGTTTCCCTGCGATTTTCGTATCTTATTCATCATGTTGGGTGAAGATTGAAGAAATTTTTGGGTAAATATTAATCAAAGAGTTCAGTGAAACTACAATATTTTTCGACCCTATGAATTGGTAAAAAACACAGGCTGCCTTAATGGCCATCACTAATCTTTGAGTCATATGGAGTATTCAGCAGAAAATCTTGCTGACCATTCATATTTTCATTTAGTAATTTTTTAAAGTACTCTTGCCGCAAAAAATTTCACTGAATCTCATCAAATCACTTGAGCACAGTTGTTGCTTTAATAGAGGTCATGTTATGAAGACAAAATACAACAATCGACGTAATGGTAATAAATGCTAGAAGCTATTCCCTAACAACTGGAATGAAACATGCCTGTTAATTGGAGAAATAAAACATTCAATCCGCACTTGAGATATGTACAATATTCTTAAATATTGTTTTTTTCGATGTAGTATACAATCAGATTGATTTTTACAATCTATGAGTAGCTAACTAAAGATATGTAGTTTTTAGTACTACCAAGCATTAAAAAATTCTTTTTAGATATAAAATCTTTTAAACATGTATAATGGAAGTTAAAATTTCATGGTTTCTAATGTCAAATTTATAGTAATATGTGACAAAAGTACTATTCAAAATTTCTTGGGTTTCCGTTAGCTATGAGAATTTGGCCTATTACCATAATCATTTCCCCTACCTGTACAATAAACCGAATTACCAAAACCTGTATTTGTGTAACCCTTATTGCATGTACATACAACAGCATTGGTTAGAGAATCGTGCGCACAAGCAGCATTTCCATCACATCCACCATTTTCCACTTTGCAGCTATCTAAAAGCAAGTAAAGAAATAAAACATTAAATCATAATAGAAGACATAAAGGAAGGAAGAATGCTAATTTTGAACTGATCACAATCATAAATACTATATCAATAATCAGTTCTGTTAGCAATATAGTATATTAAAATACTTATTTTGAAAGGCATGAATTCGAGAAGATCACTTGAAATCAGCATTTGTTTTACAAAAACATAGTTGTCACTCACTAATATCGAAACAGCAAGATTCTAATAACAAGTTTGCTTTCAAATACGTTTTTCTGCTCAAATATTTCAATGTGGAAATTCATTCGATGCATACTATTGGTTATGTAGTATATTTGAATTTTAAGCTGACAGATAAATTCCAAAGTCACGCCATTGAAATTTCACAAACCGTCAACATATGTTAGTAGTTCCACATGAAATAGTCATTTCAAAAATTATTTCCAAGCATCTACCTTTAAAACAGTTAACTCTTGTATACAAGAATTTCTATTATCTAATACGAGCTATAGTAGTTCACTATCTTATGTGCAATCGAAACTGATCAAGCTGAAATTTGTATTCTAACTCTGATGTGTTTAACCATTCGAACAGTTCTAAACACGTGTATTTCAAGTATGTTAAAACTCAATACAGTTTACTATTGAATGATTTGTGGCTTACTGCTAAGAAAATCTGCAGTAGATTTCTCAAAAATAGATTCTTCGAAATAAAATATTCTTGATCATCGCTTAGACCCTTCGAACAAAACTGTTATACAAACAAGCATTACTTGTTAATGGCTTACTATTGTTAGCACTCGCGAGTCTTTAATAGAGCAGGCGAAATGATAACTCTTCAATGTTGATTCTATTAACTTCAGCACACTACGACGTATTACGAGCAAAAACCAATGTTATCTTTTAACAATATAAAATACAAACTATAGAAGTGCACAATACTATAAATTGTTCATCTCTCATCAGTGAAACATTCCTTGAACTTTTGTTTCAACTAAGATACTACTCATGTTTCAGAAATCAGCAGCAGTCTATTAGCAAGCTCTCTAGTATCTATTATCAAATCAAACATTTATTTAGACAATTAATAAGTGCTAAAATGTTTGTCACAAAACACCGGAGCAGAGTTCTTATGCATAACGCAGTAAAATTACTATTATGTGGTTTATGCCACAAGTTCTTCGGTATGAAGTTTTCCAAAAGTAAAACAAAGCGCCAACACCTATCAACTTAGTTTCCTTGGAATTTCTCACACCCCTGTTCTAACTAACCCATTGTTCATTTCAAAGGGATCCAAAACACTCAGCAGCAAAATGATAGCACTCTTGAATAATCAAGAAACTCACCCACACATCCAGCAGTAACGTCACAACCCGACCTAACGAAGCCAATTGGACAACTGCACACCACTGCGAATGTCACAGAATCATGCGTACAAGTGGCATTTGAATCGCAGCCACCATTATTAACTTTACAACTATCTATAACCAAAACGGAATTTAAAATGAGAGGAAAACCATCTGCGCGACGATGAATAGTTACCCGTGCACATGAGATTGCTCCCATTTCCAGAATTCGTGTACCCAATCATACATGCACATTGAATCATCATTGTCTTGAAATCATGGCTGCACACCGCATTATCACCACATCCACCATTATTCACATAACAACCATCTGCAAAAAAAAACAGGAAATAAACTCTCTCTTACATAATCATTCGACCCACTCACCACTACACTTCACCAGATCAGCCGTTCCAACATTAACATATCCTACTCGACATTCACAAACAACCGCAAAGTCCGAAACTCGATGCGAACACTCCGCATTTGGATCACACCCACCATTATTCACAGCACAACTGTCTAAATATTTTCGAAAATTATATCCTCCTTATGCAGATTCCAAGTTCCACACTACTCACCAGAGCATGTTACCGCTGGCGCCACTCCAGTGTTGGTGTAACCTGTTTTGCATGTGCACACTACAGCGAACGTTTCGTTGTCATGCGAGCAAGCAGCATTAGGATCGCACCCTCCGTTGTGTACCGTGCAGCTGTCTAGAAATGGTGTAGATTGAAAAGATGAGTCAAATGGCAATTAAACTCCGAAGGCACTAACCACAGCATATGACCGCTGGCGCCTCTCCTGTGTTGGTGTAACCTGTTTTGCATGTGCACACTACAGCGAAAGTTTCGTTGTCATGCGAGCAAGCAGCATTCGGATCGCAACATCCGAAGAGCGACGTGGAGGG